GGAGGGCTTCTTAAGGAGGGGCCTCACCACCGCCTCCTTTAGGGCTGCGGGGAAGGCACCCTCCCGCAAAGAAGCGTTTATAATTCCCTGGAGCCAGGCTCGTGTCCCCTCCCGAGCCGCCAGTACCAGCCAGGAGGGACACGGATCCAATAAACATGTGGTTGCATTCAGTCCCCCCAGGATCCTGTCCACGTCCTCGACAGCCACGCTGTCTCCACGCGCTTTTACGCATTCTCAGGGCTGGCAGCCTAAAAAAAGCTACCATCAGCATGGCCACTCCACCGGAAGCCAAAAAAAGAGACCATGTTAACGTGGAGCAGGGATTTTGATCTCAACTTTGATCTGCACATCTGGCAAGAATTATGGGTAAGAAATAGGAAGCTCACTCTGGCCACCTCCTACAAAGAAAATCTTTACAAAATGTTCTACAGATGGCATCTCCCACCCATAAGATTAGCTAAAATGTGTCCAAATGTTTCTTCCAAGTGCTGGAAATGTAAATTGGCAATAGGGACATACTATCATATGTGGTGGGAGTGCCCAGGAGCCTGTGACTTTTGGAATAAGATAAAAAAAATGGCTGGAAGAAATATTAATGTTAGTGGTAGAGTTAAAACCAGAACTCTTCTTACTAGGCATAACCACGCAGAAATATGACAAAGGGGTATTTTATCTGATGTTACACATTCTCACGGCTGCCAGATTGGCGTACACTCAAAACTGGAAGAATAAAGGAATCCCAACAGAAGAAGCGATTTTATATAAAATTTTATCGTGTGCTGATATGGATAGGCTCACAATGGAAATGAAGGATAAGACAGAATCAGATTATTTTGAAATCTGGGACAAATTTTATTACTGGTATGAATCAAGGAGAACTGCTCGGGTTTTAAGTTAGTGTTAAGACAGAAATATATTGTGTATTGTGTATTGTGTTTCTATTCTGTTTTTTATGGCATTATTTTTGATAGGTTGGTCTGCTTTTTCCCTTTGTGTAAAGACAGATGCGAAAAATGAGTTAAATAGTTCTGTTTTCTCCCTGTTGCTTGTCACCTTCTTGCCACTTTCACCCACTAATGGACCAATCATTTCCTTCACTTTTTTCTTGTTTTTTACATGTTGAAAGAAGCTTTTTTTGTTATTTTTGACTTTGGTTGCAAGCCTTAGTTCATTCTGAGCCTTAGCTTTCCTCACTTCATCTTTGCAGGCTCGGGCTATTTGCTGATATTCTGACTTAGTTATGTGTCCCTCTTTCCACTTTCTATACTTGTCCTTTTTATCTTTCAATTTATCAGAGAGTTCTTTGTGCAGTCATGCTGGTTTCTTTTGAGACCTGTTATTTTTCCTCTTTGTTGGTATTGTGGTAGACTGGGCTTTTATTATCTCACTTTTTAAAATTTCCCAAGCATCTTGAGTTGTTTTCCCCTTGAGGATTCTCATCCATGGAATCCTTCCCAAACCCTCTCTAAGTTTATTGAAATTAGCTCTCTTGAAGTCCAAGACTCTAGTTTGACTGTGTTCTATTGCTTGTGCTTTCATAATGTTGAATTCCAATACTGCATGATCACTTCCTCCCAAGGTTCCTATGGCTTCAACACCTTCTATCATTTCATCTCTGTTAGTGAGAATTAGATCCAAAATGGCTGATCCCCTAGTTCCCTTCTCTACTTTTTGGGAGACAAAGTTGTCTGCTAGGTTTGTCAGGAATCTGTTTGATCTTCCACTTGGTGCAGAGTTTGTCTCCCAGTTGATGTCAGGGTAGTTAAAGTCCCCCATTACTATTATGATGTGCTTCCTACATACCTTAGTTAGCTGACTAGCAAAAAGTTAATCTATTTGCTCTGTTTGGTTGGGTGGCTTATAGTATACACCTATGGCAATGTCATTTTCCCCCCTTTTATATTGACCCATATGCATTCAAGACAGTTTTCATCATTGTTGTGCTCTATTTCTGTAGAGATGTAGTTATTTCTTATATAGCGAGCAACTCCACCTCCTCTTTTATTTGGTCTGTTTCTTTTAAATAATTTAAATCCCTCTAGCTGTGTGTTCCATTTGTGGGTTTCATCCCACCATGTTTCCGTAATGGCAACAATATCATATCTGCCCTCATTAACCTGAATTTCTAATTCACCCTGTTTGCTGTTCATACTCTGTGCATTGGTGTATAGACATTTGAGTCCTTTATGACCAGCCTGTGTTTACTTTCTACATAACCTGTGTGGTGCCTGAGTTCCCCTATTGTCTTACCACCTGTTTGGTTAGTGCACTTTGTGTGGCACTCGCTATTAAAAGCTTGATTTTGCTTGACAGCAAGGTTGATGTTCTTGTCCACACACACATCTATGTTACATGCACTGATAGCCCTATAATTTTTAGATTGCCGGGGACAGGGATGTTCTGTATCAATTAGCTCACTGTCCCCGCTGTTTAGTTTAAATATTCCTTTAGTTTGGTTTCATTTGTATAACAGTTTTAATAACACTACAGTGATCATTACCATGTTTCTTTTATTTGTTTTTCAAATTCTGTGAACTAAGGGACAATCCAATGTATACTTAAGACATTCTTTCTTGGCCAACTTATGAAATATGTTAAAAGTCTGCAGTTTCCATCACAGCCAGCATAATAACCTAATCAAGATGGAGAAACTTTGCACATAGTAAGAGAAACTTATTCCCTCCCTTTCCAATCACATAATTGACAAAATCAAGTATGCATGTCTTAATTTTTGTGGAATTAGGCAGAACAAACAAAATGCACTATGGTCTTCATCTTAATAACTACGTTCTCCATAGTTCGGCCACAGAAAGCCATAATAAAGAGTTTTATAAACACTTATAATATTTTCACAGAAAAATAAGATGGTTTCAAAAATAAATTAAATACAAATACATGTGTTTCTAAAATAATATTTATGCTGTAAAAGTTCATTTTTGGAAATCTATTTCACTTTGGCATTATTTAACAAAAGAACTGTATCAATTTATTCATGCTTTTTAACCATTAAAGATAGTATTTTGTGACTCATAAATAAGTTAAACCTACCGGTAATCCATTTCTCAGCCACCGAATTGTTGGAATAGGCTTGCCTGCAGCTATACATGGCCAATAGAATTCACTGCCAATATCTCTTTCGGTATCATTAATATGTTCCACCCATTCTGGATATGCTGAAAGACGAGAGAAACAGCTTTTCGTGTATTATATGCATGCTTAAACCAGTTTTTTCTAACCCTAATAGCCAACTTCATTCCTACTTACTTTTTTAAACTCTAATTAATAAATAACCCCACATCAAAACCCAACATTCCCAGCATTTTGCTGTAACTGTAACAATAGTTCATTTAAAAGCAAATGTTTATATTTTTCCCTTGAAGCACATCAAAGAACGAATAAAGAATATATGAGTTTGAGTCTTGTTGATGCTCATTCACACAGTGGGTAATTATGATTTCCTATTTTATCGAAACCAGGTCTGGTGACTGTATGTTAACAAATGGGATCTAATGACATGCTTAATGACATGTCCTTCTTACTTCTGTTTCTATTCCACCAAATCTGCCACAGATCCCAGACAGTTAACAAATGGAAATGAAAGTTTTCATTATACAAATACATTTAAAACACCCACAGTCAATATGAATTTTAAACATAGTTCCTTAATAGACAGAACATTAAGAAATCAGCCCAGTAAGAATCACAGCAATAGAACTAACAATGGTGGCAAAAAGGTAATTTGCAAATGGTTTCTGGATGTCATATACTGGATGTCATAGATCTGAAAGAGAAGCTAATTGTGGATTTAATGGAAGCTATTCCATAAAATTAGAATCATACCAAAGAAGTAGGCCTTCTAGTTTTATCCTTCTTCACATTATGAAATTGGGAAATAACTTGCCTTGTCCAAGACAAGAGTATAAGTTGGTTCAGTAGGAGAAGAGAATCCTGCAGCTATCTAGTTAAAATTTGATAGCATAATTGAAGTTACTGTCACTCTGGTTAACATACATATCTCCTTAAGCCAAAATGTTTTATCCCAACCAGGCACACTTGAATTACCGTATATTCCGGCGTATAAGACGACTGGGCGTATAAGACGACCCCCAACTTTTCCAGTTAAAATATAGAGTTTGGGCTATACTCACCGTATAAACTACCCCTGTTCCAACGCACACCAAATAAAAATTAAAAAACATCAGATTTGATTTCAATATGGTAATTTTAATTCAAATGCTTGTGACATGCAGGTACTTAGCAGGAAAACTGTCACTTATAAACATAAGGCTGTTTGTCATCAAACATGTAAACATAAAACAGTGCAAGTGGATTAAACTTTTCCTAATTCATTCTAAAGCTGAAAGGAAGGATAAGACAATAAACCCATGGGAGTTGCCATGCTGTTTGTTTTCTAAGCCAGGGCTTTTCAACCTTTTCACCGATTGTACCACTTTTAGAATATGGCAACATTCGAGTACCACCAGTCACCCAGCAAGGTGTCAAAAGCTTGATGACAAAAAAAAAATGGAAAAAAGTGATAAAGTACAGGTAGTCCTCAACTTACAACAGTTTGCTTGGTGACTGTTCAAAGT